CCTGTGGTGAAAACCAGCATTAACTTGTTTCTCTTTCACCTGACTTCCTCCCTTTTAAGCAGTAGTCCTTATACCAGTCAGTAGTATGTGCTCAGTAACTGTTAATGAATGAGTCAAATCACCTCTGTTACCAACTTTCACTGTAACCATATTCTTAACAGTCAGGGAAGATGATCAGGCCTTTTTTGGGCATTTACATTCGCAATGCATCAACAATTTCTTTTCTATCTTTAAAACCATTTTTGCTGCCTTTGCAATGTCTCAGAATTGCTGCAAATAAACCAAACATACATTCTGAAAATCTCTAACAAATGTAACCTAACATAATTTTACAAGATAATACATTTTTAAAAAGAAATGTTTGGTCAATTGAACCAGAAAGAAGGCTAAAGCTGTCCCCTCCAATTTACAAAACAGATGGACACTCACAATTCCAAAAAGCATAAGGCCATATTTTGCTTTTCCTGGACATACCAGTTAGCTCTTTCTCCTTCTTAAGACAAACAATGTTACTAAATTAAGGCTGTAGAAATTGTCATCCTATTATTCTTCCATTCGCTTAAGGAAAAATAGTACAGTTCTAATGAGTATTAGCTACCATTGGAATGAACTGTTAACTAATTCTGATTTTATTAGACATAGTAAATAATTTTGTAATATAAGACCCTTTTAAATATATTATTACAAAATAAATATAACATTAAGTTCAAACAACTTAACAAAATTGAGTAGTAGTAATCCATAGTGACAACAGAAATAATCAGAAAATGAAAGCCAAGAAAATACAGTAAACCAAAGCTTCATTATCCTATCATAAGCAATAATAGCCGTTTGATAATGGAGCCCACAAGAATGCTCATAGATTTCAAATCGCCAACCTTAAAGTGAACCTTAGTGTCAGAACAACATACAGGCAGATTTGTTTGCCAGACAGGAAAGCTAAACTTAAAAAAAAAAAAAAAGTTTGATTTTATATGTAGTTAGAAGACATGGTTAATTCCAAAGATTATCTTTACAACTCTATCATGGGTCGAGGAGACAAAACCTAACATTCTTCAGCCAACGTTATTCAGCTTCTATTACAATAAACTCACACTAACTTAACACTCCATATTCAACTCATTCAGCAAAAAGTAAGCTACCACAGTAAGCCATAGGCTGTTGTGCTATGAAAATAATAGTAAAGCACAAATAGGTTGAAATTAAAAATGTTTGCATCAAAAATATGTACTATTACTAATGGGGCAAAAACAAGCAAAGAACCCAAATCTAGAAAATATTAAATATGAAAAAGATTTGAGTCCAGTCCCTCATCCAAACATTATTAGTCTTAATACTTAAATAGCTATTACTCAGCCTATAACCTGGGACTGAACTCTGAATTATAAAGAAGTTTGAAATGAGCAGCTCCACAATGCATAATTAGATCTCGATTCATAGTTTCTTTAGAAGTCACTCACACTATCTTTAAAACCCAGATCTTTAACACAGATTTCTGGAAACTTTCACAGGAATTAAGATGTATAACAAAACAAGATGCATGGTACAGTTTTGGGGTATGTGTTTTTTTCTGAATGGACAATAATAGAACTACATGAGACTAAATTAACTAACACCTGGAAGTTTGTCTGAGAAACTGAGCATCTACCTATAAACACAGACATACACACGTACTTACCATGACCTACAGATTTAATTTTCTAACCCCTTTGTGTTTTTTAAGACTCCTTGTTTGGAAATATGAAATGCTGAATTCCTTATCTTTTAATCTTGTAGTTATGACAAAACAAATACAAGTTCTTACCAGTGTTCCTCTTGTCAAAGATACTCTTTTCAAATACAATTTTAGGGAGTTAGGGGAAGGTGTTCATTCTGATCTTTAGGCCATGCCCCTATTCCAGTCAGTTTCTCATTTACAGCCAACTTCTGAATTAACACCAAAACCCACAGCCAAATGGTACACATAATCTGAAAATAATCAAAAATTTGACCTACAACATACCTATCTTATTTTACATGCAACAGTTTCATATCTTGAAGTATAAATTGTGTTAACATCTTCAGTTGTAGATTTCAAGCGATGTTAGATTATTCTATGACTGTTGTAGATGGGACTCTTTAGTGTGTGCATGGGTCTTAAGTCTGTGTCTCTAAATGAAGTTGGTTCTCAGTACAGTGCTCATTTGCAGTTTGGACTAGATCATTGATTCTCAAAGTGTGGTCCCTGGAACAGCAACACCATCATCACCAAAAAAAAAAAAAAAAAAAAAAACATACTGAAGGAAAATCATGAGATTCTAGCACCATGTAAGAAATTGGAGCAAGGGCTCTGAATTAATGTGTTTTAACCTGTAGATTTTGCTATGTAGTCAAGTTTGAGAATCTCTAGACTAGCTGACCCCTAGAGTCTCTTCAAACCATCAAACTCTTTAATTAAAGTATCTCATCTAGAACCAAGACCGTGTTCTGTTAAATGCATTCAATCATGGCTTTTAGCCAACACAAAACACTAAAATCAAAAATACCATATTCCATAATATTGAAAACTTTGCTAGTTTCAGACAAAACTTATATTAGCAAACTTTTGTCAGTTAAGCAGACACTGTGACAAATGTTTGATACCATTTTAACAGCAGTGACTTTCAACAGAAATCTTGGTTCTCTTCATATTTATAACATAGAAACTTATCCCAGCTGTTGTGAAAAAAAGAAAGAATGCTTTTATGACAGTTAAGGTGCAGGCATTTTGCATCTACTTCTCAGGATCAGTTGCCGTATAGAACTTTTTTCCATTTTCAACATCCCTCCTGTGAGGAACACTGGAATAGAGCACAAGAGGGTACCCAGAAAAAAAAAAATATATCTGAACAGTTCAAATAAGTGAGGCATTTTAGGATTCCCACTTGCAAGAAAAATTAACACATCAGGAAGAATGAAGTTCCATACATTTAAGGAATTTTAACCTCGACTAGATCTGGCCCCACAATGTGATTCAATGAAATTTACTGCAACAGTCAGCAATGTGGAAATTATTTCATCTAAGCAATCCCAAAGAGGGAAACATTATACTTGGGATGACACCTTTAACTTTCCCCAGGCTTTTAGTAAAGGACAAAAAGAAACTTTTGAAATGAGGTAAAACCAAGACGACTGTCAGGGACCAAAAGGAAAAGCTGTTTTAAAAAACAGCAGGGGTCAAGTGTAAAAGTCAGCGTTTGCTCCCCCAGATAGACTCCTTTCCCACCCAATTTCTGTTTTGACAGGTGATTGCCTTGCAGCAAACCCCTCCCTCCCTGACTCACTTCCTCCAACACTCTTAAGTCAGCCTAAGGCTTCCTTGCAAACAAATGCTTTTATCTCTTCACACCATAATACCAGGAGTTCTCACTAGCCAAATAAACTGGCATAGTCTTCAAGAGCTGCTTTTTTCTCAAGAAAAAAATCTAGTTTCTTTCAATTTTGCCAAGAAAACAGTGGGGAATGTCAAAAACCTCAGAGCTACTATTTTTTCTGCTCTAGGTGCAGAAAAATTGCTTTCACTGAGAATCCAAAAGGCATTCTATTTTACAGTATTCAGTAAAAGCATATTAAAATCTTCAGTTCTGCCATCTTAGACCTCTAAAGAATTTAGTCATGCAAGTGACTAAATCCTGTGCGAAGGTGATTAATGCACCCACAACCTATTTCATTTCCCTTTCCAATTTTCCACTTCCAAATAATTCCTGTCAGTATATACATTTCTGAAATTAGTTAGATACTTGGCAGCATCTTATGTCAAAAGCTTCCAAAAAATAAAAAAATAAACACAATCACCAAATGTCTTTTAAAAAAATATCCTTCAGGCAGTACTTGACACATTGTCACAATTTTTCAACACTGTAGTCCCCCCTTAAGCCACTAAATTTACTCAAATCCAAAAATGAATCTTTGTCAAGGCCGAGGTTTGAGCAGTTTCTCAATTTCTACATTTAGAATACTTGTAATATTGCCTTCTAATTATGATTGATAGTAAAGGTGAGATCAGAGGTTTTAAAAAAAAATAGGTAATAGGATCAACACAGGCAAAATTCTCTGTTCTTCTACCCTAGGGAAATACTGAGATGCCCACTGGGCAAAAAGAAGAAAAAAGAAAAAGAAAATTCAGGCGAGATTTTACTACCCCTGTAAAGAAACATGTGTCCTGTAATTCCTTTTGGTTTTGTCAAGGAAATATATCCCTTTTTTTCCAAAAAGACTCTTTAGATTTCAGCTACACTTCACAGACCTAACGTATATCAGGTACGATTTATATACAACCACAGACTTTTTTTTATTCTACAGGCTATATTAGTGACTAAAGAACTCATTAACAAAAATAAGAAATAAAAGCTCACACTGCCTCCTACTGTTAGAAGCAAAGAGTTCAAATATGGTCCAGGAACTGCACAGTGTAAAGAAAGCAAAGTAACTGTCTTGGCCTGTTTTCTTCTTTTTCTTTTAAACCTAATAATCTATTTCTAAGCCAAAACTTGAAAGTGGTTGAGATGTCTAAGCCGTAAAAATACAATGCAAAAAAAAAGAAAAAAAAAAGGCACAAGATGTGACTTCAGAATTGGAAACCATCTTTCCCAAACATGCTTTGCACTTAATGTGTGGTTAAAAAAGAAAGAAAAATTAAAAAGTGCCATCCCACTTCCCCAGATGGATAAATGGTTCCTTCCCCAGGGCCAAGGCAGCAGCAGTTGGTTTCTCCCCTTCCCTACCTACAGGGAAGTGCTCTGTATCTGAGCCGGTTCAGCACAACTGCTCCTCAGGCAGTCAGGTGACCTGGCCAGACCCAGGGCTTCCTACACCTGGCAGATCTCCTCCCTATTTAAGTGAGAAGTAACATCACCAGCTTGTCACCAAGCTTCAAATTTTGGCAAACAACTCTGGAGAGCATCATGCACCTATACCTGTCCAACTCAGCCATGACACTGCATTAAATCGTTGAATACGAAACACAGAAACACAAACAATAATTCTGAGTTTGTTTCTTTTAAAATGACATTTGTATTAAAAGTCTTAAAACGAAGAGACAATGATGAAACACATGGAATTAAAAATTACAATTAGAATTCCCTTGGTACATCACAACAGTAAAATTTTGCTCTTTGCTTCTGGAGGTACACCCTATAACAGATAATTAAAAAAAGTAAAAATAATATAAAAAAGGAGCTAAATACCTGAACACTGGAACAAAATGAAGCCAAGAAAACAAACAAACAAAAAAAAGAAACCCATTGCAAAACATGGCAATTACATTTTAAAGGCTGAAAATAATAAAGAAATTCACTGAACAACAGGTCCTATTGTCCTGGCTCCTTCAGGAAGATTACTGAAAGGAAACTGAGAAGTGGTTGGGGGATAGCAGATTCTGGGGTATGATGGGAAGTTCACAGGTTGGCACCGGCTGGAACAGCTGAGTTTTGAAGGCACTCTGCAGACACAGGGGTGCTGGGGGCCCTGAATCACAATGACAAAGTCCTGGTACTGTATTTGTAAAAGCAAGTCATTAAAATCTGTTACTGCCAACCAAAAACGAAACAAGAAGAAAGAAAAACCTAAAAGCTAAATTTATAAAACACACACGCGCGCACACACACACACACAAATAGTACACAAGAAAATGTGCAGATCTGTAACATTTTTTTTCACAGCTGATAAAAAAAAATACTACCATTCTCCCCCAGGCTCCCCTTTGATACAGTAGGTAAACAAAATAGATTTTTTTTTTCCACAAATATCAGCAGACACTTTCTGGCACCCCACACTGTATTGGCATCAGTGTTAACAGTCCCAGTTCAGATGTGCAATACTTCAGATTGGATACACTGTAACAAGAATCCAACTTTGCATAGACATCCTCAGAATCGCAATCAGTCACAGGGTCGCCCTTCCAAGCTGGCAGAAAAGGAACCCGATCTTAAATTCCAGCTACTCCTGGAAAACAAGGGAAAAACACACACACACAAACACACACAAAAGTTTCTTCCTCCTCCTTGCTCCTTCATATGGTTCTCCCGGACTTCCTTCCACGTATTTAAAACTTGGAACTAGAAAACAGTTGTTGTTACCCCCCCAACACACACACACACACAAAAACGGACACCCCCTCCTCCTCCTTCCCCGGCACTTCCTTCCCTTCCCCCCTTCCCCCATCTTTTTCCAGGCTGAAACTTTTGCTTGCCGGGTGGGTGTCAGACTGCCAATAACTGCGCCTTCGGGGGAGGGGGGAGGGGGGAGGGAACGGGCGTCAACCAAAATCAATGAGGAACGTACATGCTGCAAAGAGCCCCAATTTCCACCACGGTGTCGGCTGGGCAGGACGGGGCGCTCCCTCGGACACGGGGCGTGGAGGCCAGCGTGGGGGGGAGGGGGGGAGGCTCCTGGGGACGCCCTGGCCACTGCAAAGTCGTCTCCCATCTCAAAGCCGGACGAGAAATCCCACGGGGAGAGTCGGTGCGTTTGGCTTTTGTGCGCGGAGCGCGGCCCGGGGGGCGCGTGGCGGCCGCGGCGCCTCAGAGGATCACGCAGGCCGAGCAGCAGCCCTCGTCGCCGTTGGGCTGCGCCGCGTAGTTCATCTGCCGCACGATCTCGGCGAACAGCTCGTCCACCGAGGCTTTGTTTTTGGCCGACGTCTCCATGAAGGGGCAGCTCCACTCCTCGGCCAGGGCCTTGCCCTCGCCGTACGAGACCTCGCGCTCGCCTTCCAGGTCCACCTTGTTGCCCACCAGGATCATGGGCACGCGCTCGTACCGCTTCACGCGGATGATCTGGTCCCGCATGGGCTTGATGTCCTGGAAGCTCTGCTGGTTGACGAGGCTGTAGACGAGGATGAAGCCCTGGCCGTTCTTGATGTACAGGTCCCGCATGGACGCGAACTGCTCGGTGCCCGCCGTGTCCAGGATCTCCAGCACCGACGGCGACGAGTCCACCTCGATCTCCTTGCGGTAGAAGTCCTCGATGGTGGGGTCGTACTTCTCGATGAAGGAGCCCGTCACGAACTGCACGGTGAGCGCGGACTTGCCCACGCCTCCCGAGCCCAGCACCACCACTTTGTACTCTCTCATGGCTCCGTCAGCACTCGCCAGGCGCCCGCCGCGGCCCCGTCGGGGCTGCGCGCCGCGGAGGGCTGGGCTGGGCGGCCGGACCGCTCCGCCGCCTCAGCGCCGCAGGAGACACCCGGGAGACCGCGGCCGAGCGGCGCGGGGCGCGCGGATCTCCGAGCGGGGGCCGCGCGCCCGGCCGGCCGGCGGCGGCGGCGGCGGCGGCGCGTCCCTGGGGCGCGGGTCCGGGGCCCCGCAGCGGTCGGCGGCGGACCAGAGGACAATGCCGGCAGCCTAAGGCACGGCGACGGCTGCAGCCCCTCGTCGCGGCAGCCGGCAAGCGCTGGGCAGCGGTGGTGGCGGGCTGCGGAGGCGGCTGCTAATTGCGCGCCGGACCGGGACACTCGTGGCATGAGTCCCCGCGGAACGTGCGCCCACCACCGCGGCCCATCGCGCTCTCGCCTGCAGCCTCCGCGGGGCGAGGGCTTCCTACTCGCCGCGCGCAGCCCGGCCCTCCCCGCCCGCGCGAGCATGCCCAGTGCGCCGCAGGCCGCGCCCCGCCCGAGCGGCCGCTCCGGGTTTTCTGCGGGGCCGAGCCGAGAGGGCGGGGCTGGGGGCGGGGCTTGCGAGCGGAGTCGCCGGGAGTGGAGGCGGGGCGACGCGAGCTTGTGGGACTGCAGCAGGCACACTGCGGGGGAATGGGGCGGCAGAGGGGCTTGGCGTGCTCGAACGCGAGCGCTAAGGCCCGGCGAGCCAAGAGAGCGCGCTTGCGGAATCCCATGACCAAAGGCCGGTGCAGGCCGCCAGAAGCGCGGACCGCGGACCGGACCGCTGCAGGTGCGGGCTGGGCAGAGCAGCCCCCGAAGCCCTGGCAAAGCCCTTGGTAAGCCGTTGTCCCCGGAAACGCTGCTCCGCCAGTTCCCGGGACAGAGCGAACGGGGTGTAACTCTAGTGCCTTGGGTCACTGTCCCCATCCGAGAACAAACAGCTTCTGGGGAACCCGCGGCTCCATCCCAGCAGAGTCCCAGAGGGTCCCGCCCACCTCCTCCCCCACTGTGCTGCGGCCAAAACCCGGAGCCCGGATCTGACAGTGCCGGCGGCCCGCAGTTAGGGCATGCTCAGTCGGCAGAGCAGGTTTTTTGGGGCTTGGAAGTAGGAAGCTTGGTGCAGCTCACACCCACACGCCAGCTCAAATTACTTCTCCCAGACTCCGCACTCATTGGTCCCAGGACGTGAGTCGCACACCCCCGAAGGGCCTCCCATTGGCTGCCGGTGCGGCTGCCTCATTGGCTGAAAAGTAGCCTCCGCCGGCGATTGGGTATTTATAGAGATTGAGCGGCGAGGTGGAGGCCCAGCTGTTCCTTCTCCGCGGCTCCCCGCCCCCTTCCTCCCACTCCCCCACCCCAACCCAGTCGTTTGGAAGCGGAGAGTGAAAAAAGGAATTTAGGCGGGGTGCGCAGAACTAAATATAGCCCTTTGTGGCTGTTTTCGAGAGCGTCTGACTCGCCCGGTCACGACTGTCCCGTCCAGGGTGCAGAAGGGGCTGGTGACAGTGGCCCGCGCGCGAGGACCTGCAAAGTTTGCCAGGGCTCCGCAGCGAGGGCGGCGGGGCTGCGATGAGCAACGGGCGCTGGAGGGCTAGGGGGGCTGCCCTGGCTTGCCTCTTCCCTAGCATCCTCGCTGTCGGGCGCGCAGTTGCTGGACTGGGCTCGGCTCGCGTCCCCGCTCCTGGGAGGAGCTGGGGAGCTGCCTCGACCTGCCCCGAGCCTGCGCGATGCCCGGCCGAGCAGAGGTGTCGGGACCTGCCCAGCAGACTTGGCCTTGGCAGTTGCGCCCCAGGGCGAGGGCGAGGGCGAGGGCGTGGGCAGGCAGCAGCGCTGCGTCAGCCCTGTCCTGCCTTTCTTAGCCGATGCCACCGCCCTCCGGTTTAAAACACCGGCATCACAGGGCTGAGCCGGGCCGGGCGGGGACTCCTGGTTTCAGTTCCCGGTGTGTCGTGACTCAACAGCCACGCTTTGCGAGTTCACCGTCTTCAAAGCCCTGCGCGTGGCGCGCACCCTGCAGGTCCGCGGCGAGAATGGCGAAGTGTGCACCTGCAACCCTGAGGGGAGACGGGGCGGGGGGGGGGGGGCTTTCACCTTGACCGTCAAGAGTGCCGGGATATAAATGTGCTTATATAACTGTCCAGAAGAACCTCTGCAAGGCACACTGACCTGGATGAACCCCAGCGGGCTATTCCCAGTGTCTAACCTCTGCCAGGCATTTTTGCATGCCTTGTTTCAGCTACTCCTCCTCCTCCTTACTGTTGTACTCTTTCTGAAGATGAGGAGACGGAAGCCCTGAGATACTGAGTCACTTGCCTGCAGAGTGTCAAAGCTGAGATTGCAACTCAGGAGTCTGGCTGCAGTCTGGCTTCGTGACCATTGGGCCGGTCCGCTTTCTCACAAGAACGTTCTCACATTACTCTTGCTCAGGTTCAGTCTAGTGGTGTGACCAGGCTGACGCATAAGCACAAGCCAGAGCACCTGTGCCCTGATCCGCCCTCTGGTTTTCAGGCAGTGCCAGTGTGCTTTATCCTAGGGTCAAGGTGGTGGCCCATATGGGGGCCGAGCCCTCCTGTAGACCAAACTCTGGATCGGCCAAACTCTGGCCTGGAATGCTCCACCTAAATGGTGCCAACCCCACCTCCAGGATCTTCTCAAGACTGAATTCCCTGCTGTGTCCCAGAGGTGGCTCTTTGTAGGAATATGGACAGAAGTTGGGCCTGTGGGTAGAGGTACACACTAAAGCTGCTCTGGGCACCTTCTAGTACAGGGAGAGGGGACAGCTGGGATCAGACTTAACTTTCCTGGCATCTTCCTGGCTGACTGTTGGGGCCATGGTGAGAGAAGGTTGGGACCCCAGGGTTCCAATTCTGCTGTGGTCTCTCTGTTGTAAAACAAAAGCAAAAAACCAAACAGCAGTTATCAAATAGAGATTTGATGAGTAGGTTCACCAGAGTCCAGGAATTTGTAATTCATACTTGGTTGTCCAGGTTGCTGTGGAGAGGTCTTTGTCATGGTGTGGGAATAGATAAGATTTTGTTTAAACGTCTGTTCTCTTGATCTGTAACATAATTAAATGAATGTCATGTGCAGCTCTATTCGTACCCTTGCCCACAGAGTTGGCAAGTTGAATGTGATGTAGCAGAAAATGCTTTGCTCTTAGAGGCCTGGTGTCTAATTCTCAATGATTGAATAGCAGCTATTTGAAGCCTTGAGCGACTCTCTTAAGCTCTCCTGACCTTAGTTTCTCTATCCATAAAATGATGAAAATCCAAAAAGTTCCTCTACCCACCTAGCTGCACAAGGAAGTTGGGAGAGAATCATATCACCAAGCCCCTCATCTTGCAGCATGGAGAGCTGAGCAGAATGAGGACCTTGGTATCCTACTTGTTCTTCCCATGGTGCCAGACTATCTATAATAATAATAGGTATGGAGCCGGCACTGTGGGATACTGGGCTAAGCCTCTGCCTGCGGTGCCAGCATCCCATATGGCTGCAGGTTCAAGTTCTGGCTGCTCCTCTTCTAATCCAGCTCTCTGATGTGGTCTGGGAAAGCAGCAGAAGAAGATGGACCAAGTTTTTGGGCCCCTGCACACATGTAGGAGACCCAAAAGAAGCTCCTGGCTACTGGCTTTGGATCAGCCCAACTCTGGCCATTGAGACCATTTAAGGAGTAAACCAGCAGATGGAAGACCATTCCGTCACTCCTTTCTATATGTAACTCTACCTTTCAAAATAAATAAGTAAAATCTTTAAAAATATATATAGATATAACTGATTTCAAAAAAATAACAAGTAGATCCGATACATGCGTCCAATTACTACCCAGCCCTAGCTGGGAGAGCTCATCCTGAAGATTACAAGTTACCATACAACTAGGTATTACTGAACCCTGTTGGCCTTGTTGGGACCAGAAATGTGCCACAGTTTGAGTACTTTCCATTAGGAATTCCTTTCAGTTATTATTATTATTATTAGAAAGAGTTAGAGAGAGAGGAGACACGGAGACAGAGAGAGATCTTCCATCCATTGGTTCACTCCCCAAATGGCTGCAACAGCCTGAGCTGGATCAGATTGAAGCTAGAAGCCAGAAGCTTCATCTGGGTCTCCCACATGGGTATAGGAACCCAAGCACTTGGGCCATCTTCCGCTGCTTTTCCAGGCACATTAGCAGGGAACTGGATCAGAAGTAGAAGCCAGCCAGGACCCTGAAAATGGCCCCTACCAGGGTGGGCTACTCGGCCCGCATTATGGAAAATCCTTTTTTTTTTTTTTTTTTTTTTTTTTTTTGACAGGCAGAGTGGACGGTGAGAGAGAGAGAGACAGAGAGAAAGGTCTTCCTTTGCCGTTGGTTCACCCTCCAATGGCCGCCGCAGCAGGCGCGCTGCGGCCGGCACACCACGCTGATCTGATGGCAAGAGCCAGGTGCTTATCCTGCTCTCCCATGGCGTGCAGGGCCCAAGGACTTGGGCCATCCTCCACTGCACTCCCTGGCCACAGCAGAGAGCTAGCCTGGAAGAGGGGCAACCGGGACAGAATCCAGCGCCCTGACCGGCACTAGAACCTGGTGTGCCGGTGCCACAAGGCGGAGGATTAGCCTAGTGAGCCGCGGCACTGGCCCATTAGGGATTCTTTAACAATAATTTGTGTTATACTCACATGGTCTCCCACAGAAAGGGGCTCTGAGATTCAAAATAATGCAAAGAAGGGCTGGCTTTGAGGCCTGGTAGGTTTAGCATCTGCCTGGGTGCTGGTTTGTGTTCTGGCTGCTCCACTTTTGATCCAGCTCCCTGCTGATGACCTGGGAAAGTAGTAGAGGATGGCTCAAGTGCTTGGGCCTCTTGCACCCATGTAGAAGACCTGGAAGAAGCTCCTGGCTCCTGGCTTCAGATAGGCTCAGTTCTGACCATTGCATCCATTTAAGGAGTGAGCCAGAGGATCTCTCTCTCTTCCTCTCTCTCTCTCTAACTCTACCTCTCAAGTAAATAAATAAATATTTTTAAAAAATGATGCAAAAAATTGTTAATGAAAAAATTTCTGTGGCTGGTCACTTCTTCCTGTGATAATTGGTAGGAATCTTTTTGTAAACACTTGCAGAATGAAACATTTTCTGACTGTGCCGTTATTAATTACATGTCTAAATCTGGTCACTTTAAGTACCAGATGAGTTATGTAAAGGTGGGGCCGATGGCTGGTTTATTTCTACAGCCCTATCTGTTCCTCACAACATTTAGTTCAACACGAGGTCCTCAATATTTATTGGTGAATATATGAATGATACTTCATTATTTTCCCAAACTCTGTCTATGGTGAAAGATTGTAGCAGTCCTTGGTGAGATACCAGGTTTCCTGGATCCATAGGGTATCCATAGGATACCTTTCTTTCAGTCCCCTGAGTCATAAAGGTACTGGAGCTGTCAAAGCCTGGTCTTAATTGGGTAGCAAGAATCAGTGCTATCTTAGGGAAAGATACCAGAGCTTCCAATGGGTGAATGCTTGCCCTGAGGATGACTTAACATTTTCAGATCACAGGAAAAGGCATTTTGGGGAAACAATCTAAAGGAAAAGCTACCAGGTGAGAACAGCTTTACCTTGGTCACTGAATGGTGCCTTAATGGGGACTCCATCTGTAAGCTTTGCTCTGAGTGCTATTGTTCAGCTGCTTGCAAGACACTGGGGTTGGGCTTTCAAAGAATTAGCTTTGTTTGCACATGCACTCTTTAAATCCTCAAGAAAATAAGTTCTCACCTGTGTCTTCATTTATGTAAGTAAGTAAAGGTTCATTTCACAACATTCACAGTTTAGCTAGTGGCACCTATTAGATAAACCAGAAAGTCTAAAAACACCAAGGGGAAGTTGACAGTGACTGTGTATCATCATTTTAAAGTGAAAGCAAGAATATAGGATTGTGTTTGCAGTATTTATTCAGTAACTGAAAATGTTATAAGCACATACCCACTAGCAGATTTAGGCTGTTTTGTTTTATGAGTGTCCTTTTTCATTGTTGTTGTTCTAATTTAAAAGGCAGCAAGACAGAAAAAGAGAAAGAGGAGAGGGATCTCCCAGATGGTGGTTCACTCTGCACAATAGCCAGAGCTGTTCCAGGCTGAAGGCTGGAGCTCAGAACACTATCTGGGTATCCTACATGGGTGGCAAGAGTTTATTTGAGCCATGATCTGCCCTGTCCTAGGTGTACATTAGCAGGAAGCTGGAATCAAAAGTGGAGTCAGGGCCGGCGCCATGGCTCACTAGGCTAATCCTCCACCTGCGGCACTGGCACACCGGGTTCTAGTCCCGGTCAGGGCGCCGGTTCTGCCCCGGTTGCTCCTCTTCCAGTCCAGCTCTCTGCTGTGGCCCAGGAGTGCAGTGGAGGATGGCCCAAGTGCTTGGGCCCTGCACCGCATGGGAGACCAGGAGAAGCACTTGGCTCCTGGCTTCAGATCAGCGTGGTGCGCCGGCCACAGCGCGCCGGCCACGGCAGCCATTGGAGGGTGAACCAACAGCAAAAGGAAGACCTTTCTCTCTGTCTCTCTCTCTCACTGTCCACTCTGCCTGTCAAAAAAACAAAAGTGGAGTCAGGACTTTTACGCAGGCACTCTGATGTGGGATGCAACTATTGCCAGATAGTGTCTTAACTGCTATACCAAATAGCTGCTCCAGTAGACCTTTCTCCAGGAGTGCCTCTAAGAATATTCTGTAAGTTAACTGAACTGTGATCATTGTTTGGATTATACGTGGGTAGCCAACATATTACATGTTGTTTCTTTCTTTTTTTTTTTTTTTTTTTTTTGACAGGCAGAGTGGACGGTGAGAGAGAGAGAGACAGAGAGAAAGGTCTTCCTTTGCCATTGGTTCACCCTCCAATGGCCACGCGCTGCGGCCTGCGCACCACGCTGATCTGATGGCAGGAGCCAGGTACTTCTGGTCTCCCATGAGGGTGCAGGGCCCAAGGACTTGGGCCATCCTCCACTGCACTCCCTGGCCACAGCAGAGAGCTGGCCTGGAAGAGGGGCAACCGGGACAGAATCCGGCGCCCCAACCGGGACTAGAACCCGGTGTGCCGGCGCCGCAAGGCGGAGAATTAGCCTAGTGAGCCGGGGCACCAGCCGACATGTTGTTTCATACAGTTACATCCTACTCAGATTTGGGACAACCGTTTTATACAAATAATGATTTTAACTACTTGTAATGACATACTCTATCTTTGTATCTTAAAAATGTCCTCAGATCCTAAGATAACCAAAAAGAGACACAGATCTGTCAGGTTTTATAATTGCTGCTCTATCCTCAATACTCCTGGTCCCCTTTCCTATTTTTATTATTCCTTCAAGAAAACTATGTAACAGACTCTTAAATTTTACAGCAAATAACCTCTTTAAATTTGTCAACATTTTTACATATTTTGGATATGCAGAAAAAAATCAAAATCGGTATTGTCTCAGGGCCTGTGAGGTGGAGTAGTTGGCTGAGTCACTGCTTACAACACTGGCATTCCTTATGGATGTCTGTTAGAGTCTGACTGCTCCACTTTTGATCTAGCTTCCTACCAGTGTGTCTGGGAAAACAGTGCAAGATGGCCCAAGTGCTTGGGTCTCTGCACCTACATTGGAGACTCAGAAGAAGCTCCTGGCTCCTTGCTTTGGCCTGGTCCAGTCCCAGCCACTGTGGCCATTTCGGGAGCTAATCAGCTGATGGAAGATCTCTGTATCTCCCCACCCCTCTCTCTCTGCAACTCTGCAGTTCAAATTTAAAAAAAAAAATAATGACACTTTAAAATATTGTCTCAAGGCTGTTTATCAGTTTAGCATTGAATAGTGATGTCAACATATAAATGAATATGCTGTGTTATTTTTGACAATAAAAACCAGTCATTTCTCCCTAACAAAATTTCCCTGGGCTAAAAATGTCACACAGGCCTAGACTAATACCTCATAACCTGTTCCCTCTGTCAGGGTTCTATTATAAACTGTTTCCTAAGCTCTTACTAACGGTTTGGTATATTTTCATTCTTTTACCTGATTTTAGAAAGAAAGATCTTTTTAAAGACAGGAGAATGTCCTTCCTCCCTCAGCTAAATGATCTGACCTTTTCTGTCTGGTCTCAGATTTGCCTGAGACACTGATGTGTAGAGAAAAGAACGCAACTCGCTTATTGCACAACTTTTACATGATGAATGTACTCCCACTCAAGGGAAATTTGAGAGAGATTTCATTGATCCTCGTTGTCTTAGTTGAAGCACAATTTCAAATCCCACTCTGCTTTGGAGTTGTCTCTTTAGACCCTTCTGTTCCAGAAAGCCAAATATAGCAAGAATGGAAGAAATTGCTCAGCTCTGTTATATAGACTTCTTCTCTCCCTATCTTTCCTCTCACCAACCACTAGATTCTAAGAGCTCCTTGTCCCCTTGCAGGGACAACGGTGTCCAGCACATCCCTTGATGCACAATTGAAATGTATCGCCCCTTTTGCAGCAGTGGTTCCAATATGTCTTGCAGACTTTGTGGTTTGGATGGAGACAGTGAGATCCTGTATCAGGGGAAAGGAAGTTTTCTTTGTAAATGATCAGCAGCAACAGGGTTTGGTTTAAGGAATCTGCCTAATGGGGGTTCTGTTTTCCTGGCAGTTAAATAATCTAGCAATCAGAAGATAGAGGGAAGACTCTGCATATGGGGGCTTGGGAAGATAACACAGAACTTCAGAATGCAGTCTAGGTAAGTAATTTGGTGGTTGTGACATTCTGTTCCAGTCTGGCTGTCTGCAACTCTTGAAGGTTTTTAAAAATCTTTGTTAAAACTTGTATATAAAAGAGAACTTATTACTCTATTATTTGACTGTTGTAATATACGCATATTACCATAAAATATAAAAACTGCATTCTTTCCTTTAAGGGATTTATATCCTTACAAAAAGCGTTACTGCCTTATCCAGTGTACCTTTATGAAATTAAAGAGGCGTGGTCCTGGAAAACTGATAAAATTTTTCAGTGTTTCATATAAGCTAAATGTTCTAAATAAACCATTCAAAATTTATCTATAACAGGCCAAATAATAAATGTTTCAGACTTTGCAGGCCATCGCATCTTTGTTGCAAGTAGTCTGTCCTTGCAGCAGGAAAGCAGCTACAGACAGTATGTAAATAAAAGGGCATGGCTGCGCTCCAGAACACTTTTTTAGAGAAACAGGTGGTGGGTTGCATTTGGCCCACAGACTCATAGTTTGCCAATATTTAAGCCATGTATCGAGGGAAAAAAATCTTCATGTATTTCTGGAGGCTCTTTTAATCAAAATGAAGTACTAGTGCTCATTTGTCTTGAGATGTCATCGTACTCTAGGCCATAAGCTATAGTAAAATAACATTCAAATAGTGAATAGATACTAACAGATATGACTATGATTCCATATAATTTATGAAATGTTCATATGCTATTTTTACACCAATCATGTAAAATATTAACAGTTAAGTAAGTTATCAGTGGTATTTTCTTAGACCTTTTGTCTCATGGAATTTCTTATACTGGAATTTTTGATTATGTTTTATAATATATAAGGGGATATTAGTCCTATGTCAGTCAAGTGCCTTGCAAATAATTTTATCATGCTGCTAGGGTCTTTCATTTGTTTATGACTTTTTATTGAGATTTAACATAATAGTCCATTTTGAATTTATTGATCTTTTCTTTTATGGTTTTCCTTTATAAAATTCATGCCACAAATAGGAAAGCATCTCACACTTCAAGGTATTTTGTACAGCTAGTTTTCTTCTAGCATTTTTATGATTTTTGTTTGTTTGTGGTTACTTTCAGTTTCTTTTTCAACTGAAAAGAGAACATCAGCAGCGACTAACTGCTACCACAGAAGAGAACTCCTTCGAAGTCTCTGAGCACAGGGTGAGACTGAGGCAGCATCCACCCTTTTGAACAGGAAGGAAGCATCAAGAGACCGAAAAACATAAGCTGAGGCGGTAAAGAGCTGAGAGAGTTCAAGCTAAAATAACCTCTTCTCCATAATTACAAATGGCAACACATCTGCTGAAGGAGGGAGGCCTGAGAGGGGATCTGAGTAGAAATGAAACTGTTTCTAACCACAATGGTGCTGCCTGCGTCATGGAGTTCCTAGGCTAGTTAATGTGAAGATGCCAGTTCACCTTTGTTCAGTTATTAAGGGGATATTGGTAATCCCCTTAAGTTTGTCCAATCAGATTCTTTTAAAATTTCTATAACCTTTTTCTAACCACATACAAATATGAGGATACTTCAAAAAGTTTGCAGAGAAATGGAATTAAAAGTATGAGTTTTAAGACCAGTGTTTGGGGGCAAGCGCCATGGCTCACTTGGTTAATCCTCCGCCTGCAGTGCAGGCATCCCATGTGGACGCCATGTTCTAGTCCCAGTTGCTCCTCTTCCAGTCCAGCTCTCTGTTGTGGCCCAGGAAGGCAGTGGAAGATGGCCCCTGCTTGGGCCCCTGCACCCGCATGGGAGACCAGGAGGAAGCACCTGGCTCCTGGATTCGGATCGGTGCAGCATGCCGGCTGTAGTGACCATTTGGGGGGTGAACCAACAGAAGGAAAACCTTTCTTTCTGTCTCTCTCTCTCACTGTCTAACTCTATCTGTCCAAAAAAAAAACAAAAAACAAAAAAACCAGTGCTTGATGTAGTGATTAAATCACCACTTGGTACAGCCACATCCTATATCAGTATCTAGGTTCAAGTTCTAGCTTACCTTTCCATACCAGCATCCCTACTAGTGTACATCCTAGGAGTTAGGAGATGATGGTTCAAATATTTGGATCTATGACACCTGTGTGGAAGACCTAAATTGAGTTCCTGGCTTTGACCTGACATGGTTTTGACTTGACATGCTGTTGTAGGCATTTGGGGGAGTGAACCAGCAGGAGGGATAGATAGATCTCTCCCTCTCTCTCTCTTCTCTCTACCAATCAAATAAATAAATAACTAGTTTTTAAAATATGAGTTTATGTTGGTGCAAAACTTTTTGAAATCTAGGCATAGTTTTTTTGCATGAATGTTATCTCATACTTTAAATTCCATTTTCCATAAACTTCTTGAGGTAGATTCATGCATAATTATTAAATGAACTGCATATTTCCCATATGCCCTTACCCTTAGTGAAAATACACATGTCAATCTATGACTCATGTAATTAAAAATTCCATTACTAATGGGAAATTAAATGAATTAATAAAACTATCTTACCTACGTAGTCTCTTGAGTTTCTTTCTGTAACATGTTAAATTACAATAAAGCCTTGGCTACCTAAAACCTCAGAAAATGAATCATTTTTGCTAGTTGAAAATCTGTCTAGAAAATGTTGCTGCTGTCTGATGTTATAATAAGTGCTATCTAAATTTGAAATGTACAGGAAATACTGAAAGAATAAATTAAAAACACAGTAACTGAAAACTTAACATTTTGGTTTATAATCCTCTTGTCTTTTAATCATGTAATTATTGTATACATTCCACAAGTCCTGGATTCTGATGACTGTTTTAACTTATAGCTCCACTGAGGCCTCAGGTATTCTGTAAATTACTGCCCAAGGAATAAGAGATTATATAAGAGAGATCAATATCTATTTGATGAATAATTTTCCTCTCTCATTTAATGGTTTTTGAAGGGAGTTTTTGATCTCTTGCTAAAGTGGCTGCAATGCTACTGGGGTCCATAGTTGCCTAGGAAGTTGCTTTCTTGATAAATTCCCTGAAAGTTTACTGGTTTGGGGTTGTTTTCCTGTTTATCCCAAAGGTGGGAGAAAGGATGTTCAGGTTCATGACCCCTGGGGCTGCATAACACGGCTGCCTGTCTGCCCAATTAATTAGAAAATAAAGCCTTCAGCTGCATTCTCCCAAACAGTTTGGTCACTGTCCAGAAACGATCTTCCTCTTTGTGGCAAACATTGCCCTTTGATGTGTCAGCAACGAGCAAAGCCCCAGCAGTGACTTCTGCATCACTAACACATTTCTGCTGTCTTTGTCAATTTGCACTCAGGCTTCTATCTCTGCTGTCCCAAGTTTCCAGAGGCTTAAAAGAAACTTGCCCCATGCTCTTTCCAAAGTATATTTCAGCATGTTAGAGAAATATTCTCAAAACTGCCAAGTCTTTAGCAGGAAAAAAAAAAAAAAAAAGATAACTTTTGCTGACATGATCTCAGGCCAAAATTTCCTCTTAACTGTTCTTAGAGTTTGAATTGAATGGAACAGCAGGCATAAGCAATATGTAAAATTGTATATTTGCTTTAATAATGGAATGAGAATTCCTGAACATTACATGCCTGATAAATCTACTTTTTCATTAAACCTCATATGCAGTAGAATTTCCTATCTTGAATAACATTTTTTTCTATAGACAGATGCTGGGAGTTGATATTTGGTGGCTAAGAGATAGAAGTAATGTTCCCAGATACCACTACATTCCCTCTGGGTGAGCATAATAATTGTGTCAAACAGGATTGTATTGTTATCCTAAGATAAGCCTGTGGTCTGAAAAGATCTTTCATTAAATGTAAACAAAAGTGGTGGGAGGAGATTGGGTGTGACAAGGGAGACTATCTGTGACTTGCCAAGCCTTATTTATACTCTATAAGCAACACAGAACACTCTAGGGTGCTCTGGGACCATGCAATTTCCCACATATTAGACTGTTAGCCTATTTTTACTCTGTGAGACCCAGGTACATTTTTATGAGTGTAGAAAGCTACAAGTTAAATTAGATAACTTCAAGTGTAATTTATGGACCAAGAGTTACAGCTGTAGCCTAAGCTTTTTTCATTCTAAGATGCAGGTAAACCAGGGAGGGAAAGTCTTGGGTTAACAAATAGAGGGAGAAAATGTACTATTCTATAAGGGTACAGGTAACCACTGGAGAGGTGAGAGGAAGATCCTTGAGGCTCATAAAGGTGATTCAAGGACAGCAGAAATCATCAAGGAGAAAGGCAGATTTCTGCCCATTGTAGTGATTACATCTTAGATTAGCCTTTGGGATTGCTGTTGAGTCTAACTGGGAGAAAAAGACTACAATAGGCGGCGCCGTGGCTCAATAGGCTAATCCTCCACCTTGCAGCGCCAGCACACTGGGTTCTAGTTCTGGTCGGGGAGCCGGATTCTGTCCCGGTTGCCCCTCTTCCAGGCCAGCTCTCTGCTGTGGCCAGGGAGTGCAGTGGAGGATGGCCCAGGTGCTTGGGCCCTGCACCCCATGGGAGACCAGGATAAGCACCTGGCTCCTGGCTTCGGATCAGCGCTGTGCACCGGCTGCAGCGCGCCAGCCACAGCGGCCATTGGAGGGTGAACCAATGGCAAAGGAAGACCTTTCTCTCTGTCTCTCTCTCTCACTGTCCACTCTGCCTGTCAAAAAATAAATAAATAAATAAAATAAAAAAGAAATAAGGTTACATAGGAAATTATTTAGGAACGCGTTTTCTCAACAAGCTGCAAATATTTTCTACACTGTTTTTCATCCCTGTAGGATTTTCTGACTTGGTTTTTAAGGTCTTCTAAAGTTATCTCACATTGAAGGAATTAGGAATATGTATGGCCGAATTTAACAAGAAACATCACCATGATGTGGTGGGATAAATACGTAAATGTTTATTTATCATTTGACACAGAGTCTGGAACTGGAGTGCTTCTGGCCTTGTTTCCGTAGCTTAGTGAAGAGGAAACACTTGCTATCCCAGAAATCAAGTCTGCTTGTGTGGCAGGAAAAAAAGGAGGCTCAGAGTGTATGGGAAAGGATGCCTAAGGGGGACTTCCATTTTATGAAGAAATTAAAACTCCAGGAGAGTTCCCATGTATTTCTTTGGCCCTTATAGCTGCAAGGGAGGCTGGTAAAATCAATATTTAACTTTCCCACTTTCTATAGCATAAGGAGACAAAGCAAAAACAAATGGAGGCCGGCGCCGCGGTTCAATAGGCTAATCCTCCATCTTGCAGCACCTGCACGCCGGGTTCTAGTCCTGGTTGGGGCGCCGAGTCTGTACCGGTTGCCCCTCTTCCAGGCCAGCTCTCTGCTGTGGCCCGGGAGTGCAGTGGAGGATGGCCCAAGTGCTTGGGCCCTGCACCCCATGGGAGACCAGGAGAAGCACCTGGCTCCTGCCATCGGATCAGCGCGGTGCACTGGCCGCAGTGCTCAGGCCGCGGTGGCCATTGGAGGGTGAACCAACGGCAAAAGGAAGACCTTTCTCTCTGTCTCTCTCTCACACTGTCCACTCTGCCTGTCAAAAAAAAAAAAAAAAAAATGGAGAATGGGGTTAGGTAAGCCACCCTATAATGTATATGCCAAACACCAAACTACTCTTCAGAAATTCGGTACTTTTTTGTCGATTGAATTTGCACTTAAGTTTTTCATGCCCACTTAATAAATATTAGATAAAAGTGAAAGGTGTGATATCTTATTATTTCACTGACAATTTCATTTAAAAGAACGTATATGTTTTCAAGTGTGGCTGTGAACATAATATAAGTTGAACACCTCTAATCCAAAAATCTATGATGTGAGATGCTCCAAATTTCAAAACCTTTTGAGCACCAACATGTCACCACAAGTGGAACATTGCATATCTAACCTCAATATGATAGGTGGCAGTCAGAATGCAAGCATGCTAAAATTATTGCATAAAATTACCTTCCAGATATGTGTATAAGGATATGTATGAAAAATAAATGAGTTTTATGTTTAAACTTTGGCCCATTCCCAAGATATATCATTAGGCTGTTCTTATAACATAATAAGAACTTAAAATGTGCTCATTTGGCAAATATAATTGATTCATGATCATTTTCACATTTTTACTCTTTTCCAAACTTGTTTTCATATAAGATTAGCACAGTTTTTTAATGTCTGCCTTTGCTTTTGACTGTTAGCCATGGGGAATGCATGTCATCTGACATAGCTGGCTCTGTGGCATCACTGTGGCAATCTCTGCACTGGTGTGGGGAGCAACCCGGACTGGACTGAGTTACTGGAATTAAGACTTATTCTATGCATCTGCTCTCCCACAATATGGCGCTGGGAGAGGAGAAAACAGCTTCTACGCAGCTGCCTCTTGCCAACTTGAGTGATGACCTCCAGGAGCTGATCCTGCTCCTGATTGGAGGAGAGCAGCGTACTCGGCGTGTGGGCAGCCGAGTTGGGATTGGCGGAAGAGGACTATAAAGGAGGAGAGAGACAACATGCACCAGGAACATCTAAGGGGAACATCTATCTGAAGGAACACCTGTGCAGCCCCCAAGAGAGCCGGCCGGCGGTGTGCCGCTCCCCTGCGGAAGTGGGGAAAGTGGCCAGGGGGAACCGCCCTTCCACGGAGGTGGAAGGGACGGTAGCCAACCCGGGAAGAACCAGCAGCAAACCCAGGGAGGGCCGAGCAGACAAAAGAACAACGCAGGGTCCTGTGTCGTTCCTCCAAGAAGACAGGGAGCGACACACTGGGAATGATTTTGTAACTTGAGGTCATTGTGTTTGACAATGAATGTCTTCCCCAGAATGCTGAATGGTGGTGTCTGCTGTGTCCTTAGTGGGATGCTTGGTAACTAAAAGATTGCCCTATTGATGTAAATGGGTCCTATCTCACTAGAAGGCTTCGGATGATTTTCATATGGCTCCCTAGGGCCAGGCACCTCCATTACTGACTCTTTGATATCAGCAGTGCACAGGGAAGATGACTGTCACATGTTCTACAGAGTGGTCCAATCCTGCTACACTTTATCTCTAGTCCTTTGCCCCATTCCACTGCTCCACCCACAGTCTCTGTGACCACGGCTGCCTCAGATCATCTCTGCTATTTTTCCTTTGTGCTTCTCAAAAACTATTTTTTTTATTTCTTGTCTTATGCTATTTCTATACCTCAATATCTCTCCCTCTCTCTCTCCCTCTCTCCCTCTCTCCCTCTCTCTTTCTCTCCCTCAGTGTGTGTGTGTGTGTGTGTTTTCTTGGCCACTATATCACATTGGGAATAATTTTGGTTCACTGAACTGTCTTCACTATAATTTGTTGCTGAATACACATGGCCTGCTTCTTTGCCCCAAGGCAAGGCTATTTCGTTGTTGCTACTGTGGTTTTGGACATTTAAATTTGTTCTGCCTCTGCAGTAGTCCTAAAAGTCTGAGGGTTCTGAAATACTGGTTTCTAGAAAGCACTCACATTGTAATGGTCAATTAGCCCAGCGTCCTCACGGGTCTCCTTGCCCCCAGTTATGTTCTCCCCCATGTACCAGTCAATCCCATGTAATGCTAGTGGACAGGACTTATTAAAAGCCTCACTGAGAAAATGAATGAATCACAACATGGATGACTTTCAGACATAATGCTGAGTGAAAAAAGCCAAACACAACAGAACACAGAATATATTATGCTATTTATTTAACAGTCATAAAAAGCAAAATTAAAGTATTTTGTTCAGGCATATGTAATTAGAG